ATCCTTCAAAAATCCGGTAAACAAATATATATGTCCAGACGTCTTAACCACTCCAAAACAGACTCGAAAGACTCTACAACAATACGCGCATCGGCTGCTGCTTCCCGAAAAACAGCCTTTGTCGAATGAGGTGGCTTAGCATGTCTTTCAATCATGCGGTTCCTCAATAATGAATAAAGACCCGATAACATAATAGAATTGTATGGTGCATTATTGGTAATGAACTTTTAGTACGGTAAGAATCAAACAACATGAGCTTTAACAAAAATTTTTTTGATGGTTATTTAAGGACGTGCCAGAATCGACAGGCATCGCGGCAATGAATAAAACAATGCTCGATCGTTTCAGGCTCGTTGCACAGCCTGCATCTTATAGACAGGGCACGTTTATAACTTTTTCATGAAGCAACCTCTTTACTGGTATTGTTGAGCTAAATAGCTTAAAGAAAAACGCTTTCTCTTCGTGATGATATACACATTTTATGCACATGGTGGAACACATCATGACCAGGTCGAGATGAATTGGTTCAGGGAAAAGCGTGCTGGAGAGTGTAGCAGTGAGGGCCGTTCTGCCTACACTGTACAGATATTCTAAAGGGAATATGGCTTTGAAAAACTGCATAGCCTCAACAATTTATTTCGAGAAACTCCACAATTGTTAGTTTTCAGCAACCCTTTTATGACGAAAAGAAAAGGGTAAGCAAGACGGTTCCAGACAACCGCCCCCCCCCCCAAAAAGTGACACACAACCTTAAAGAGAAAAAAAATCGCATCACCATTTGTCATACAAAAAATGCATAAGACCAAGCCCCTACTTCTCAAGCAGAAGAAAACGGTTGTCTCATCGCATGGCTTCCAGTGAAAATTTTCAAATCGAGCAGGCAAATTTAATGTGAATTGCCTTGATATGTACGCGGGAGCAATGCAATACTTGTAGAATGTTCACAAGCTTTGATGCTAAAAGGATGATGCATGTTTTGGGTTTCTAAAAATGAAAAGATCCTGTTCTTTCCAAGTCAACGCTTATCGACGGAGGCTGGTTATGGCAGACGTCCAATGAGGGTCACTATTAAGGTCGTTATCAAGAGGCACACCAAAATATTAACTGGAGCTCCATTCCAACAAATATTTGCGAAAACCGAGGCCATTACCTCCCTCGTGCCCAGCCAGAATCCCCAGGTTTCGTCAAATTTTATATTGCCTCCAGACAATTCACAAAAACGCATAGTGGTGTTTACTGCTTCTTTAACAGTCAGTTTCTCCATGCAAAAGAAGGCAATGTCAAGTGCGTAGTATAGTGCTTTGATTTCCTCGAATTCATTTTTAGTTACATATATATATATATATATATATATATATATATATATATATATATATATATATATATATATATATATATATATATATATATATATATCAGAATTATATTGTACACCTAAGCCAAATTGTTCCTCGTATACTGCAAAAAGTGAAGCTGAAAGCGGACACCCTTGACACACTGATGACTTCACCTCTATTGAACCTGAAAGCTCGATTCACAGTAATCTTTTTGTCACTTTTTATAAAACACTGATATGCCATTGTACAGTGCACCTCCTTACTGGGGATGCCTGAGCAGTCGAAACAAAAAGTGATATTGCACCTTATCAGAAGCTTTAGCAAGGCCAATTTAAAGAAGAGCTACCTTATTCATGCTATCGTCAATGAACTCAAGGACTGATCGCGCTGCATGGGTATTCGTCTGTACAGAACGGCCTCTTGTTACACATGTTTGATGGGTGCTTACAGATTTAGTGTTCACAAACCTGTTCCAGCAGCCTGTTCATGACGATTTGCGTAATTATCTTATAATCAACGTTGAATAAAATAAAGGTTTATGTCCAATTACTCGTTTTGCTGCTTCACTATCGCTGCTTTTCGGTATCAAATCAGTATGGGCCTATTAAAAAGAAGAAGGGAGTTCCACAAGTTAATAGGCTTTTTTAAATGTGCCTCAAAGAAACGAACGAGATTTTCTGGAAACGTCGTGTAAATTCTTCGCTAAGAACATCAGGGCCTAATGGCGTCTCTCACAATCATATAGTGGTTTTGGGACGTTAAACCCCACATTACAATCAACATCAGGGCCTAGAGTTTTGTTTCTCCACAAAGTTGGGATCACGATCTTCATTTCCTTCTTAGTTATCGATCCATCAATGCTGAGGTAATGATCTTCCTGTAAACATAGCGTGAAGCAATGAGTCGTCCAGCTTTTTTTATAGTCACCCGTAAGCTCAGCCATGTTGAACAGGCTTTTGTAATTATGCTCAAAAGCGGCAGTTATTTGCTGTGTATTTCTGTATATGAGCTATTTGACTCAAGTTGTAATGTCCACTTGGAGAGTGCGTATCGCTTTTAATCCTCAAGAGCTCTTTTTGTGGGCTCATTTTCAGTGAAACCAATAACACGAGGACGAATCATTGCTACTCTGTGTGCTTCTTTTTCGTATTTGTGTATTTGTGCTCGCAGTATATTTATTTAGTCCCGGTACAGCCCCGTCTCTTGGCTTTCAATAACATGCAGACTCTAAGTAAATTGCAAAGATAATGTTTGTCATCTTTCTTCCTTTGTGCTAGCTCACAATAGACACTAATCGCTTCATTCTTACCTTTTTCTGTGAACAATTCCCATTGAGCAGAAATTAACAGCTGCCGATAATAGTTTACTACATGAAGCAATTCAATGACTGTTTTAACAAAACATTCATCATGCAAGAGCTGTACATTCAGTTTTAATATTTACCAATTTGGTAGAATCGTGCGAAATTTTCTAGGACCACATGCAACTGACAATAAACAATGGTCTCTGAAATTACACGTATGGCTTGGAACATGTTGCCAAACTTGCCTTCGGCAGGTGTGATGTCGGTAAATTAATCGCATCATTACGACTTTTAAAGCGTTTTATAACAGCGAAAAAACAACCAGTCGTCGCACAATGCGAAAAGCATAACGAGTGCGGTCGTCCATTGCTCCAACTCATTACAAAATCTTGTTCTTGGTCACCTATTAAATGTGGCGCATACTCACTTCAGGCGTAATTCCTCGTTGTCGTCAGCCACTGCATGAACAATTGGCACAAGATTCTTTACAAGTGTTTAGCGGATATCATTCTTCTCAGAAGAATGATGAAAAATAGCATAGCGAATGCTGGCCTACTACTCAAAAGTTTTTATTAATAATTGCGTAGTGGGTATCAAGCAAGTGTGCTTGCAGCAGTTACCCAATGACTGGACAAGCTAAATTTCTGCCAACACGGGTCCGGTCAGGCTTTTTCTCTAAGGTGCGCTTTCTGTGTTGAGCCAGAAGCTATGGATCATTACTTTTTGACGTGTATACGATTAACTACAGCTTGTAGATCTAAGTTAGCAAATCCTTTACCTGCTATTCAAATAAATTGATCCATGCGCGTGATTTTAGCTTTTGGAGCCTGTATTTATAGGTTTCACGGTGCGAAAGTTTGCGAGGCACTGCGGAATCATCTCAATGAAACGAAAAGACTAACGAACTCACATTATTCTTCTGTGTCGACATACGCATCACTTCTCGCTTTTTATTTCTTTTTTAAGCTAGGTTCTGATCTAGGTTAATATCTATTACTAATACAAAAAATTCATGGTAATTACTGATCAGTGATCATCACATTTTCACTTTAAAAGTTGCAACGTTTTCAATTTGTAAGTTCTTTTACTCTAAAGTAGAATAATACTTTATAAGACGACTCAAATATTGGCAAATCCTGCACAGTAGGTATGAGTCACAAGTGAAGGGCAACAAGAACAAGAACAAGGCTGTTTACTCTGAAAGGCCGCTCTCCTAGCTTGCGCTGTGGCTGTGCTGCGCCTTCCGCGCAGGCCTGAAGTTTGTGTTTCTTGGATTGCGTCAATACAAAAATACTATCTAGTGTGAGACAAATCACATATTTTTGCCGATTTCAAATTTTTGAGGGGAAGGTATGAAGTCTATTTCACCCCTAAACATTTTCGTACACAAGTAATTTCTTATAAAAACACGAAACATTTTAAAATTGCTTAAAAAGTGTTCCAGCTAAAATAGGTAAACATTGCGAACTTTGAATATCTTTGGGTTTTTTTTGGAAGGCGTAGCAGCTAGGTAAACGCAGAAATGTCAAAAAGGTCCATTAGCACAACTAGACAAAACCTATTGGGTAGCTGAACTACTGTTTTGAATTTCCGCTTAAAAATATTGATTTTATATACATTTTTATATTGAGCACACTTTAGCAAAAGCAAACAAATTTTGAGGGGGCGCCATGGTCTTGGAAAATATTTTCTAGCAAAAACGTTTGACCGTAATACTCAATTGAGTATACACAAAGCGGGTAAATTTGATCGGCAGAGTAAGCGATGGCAGAATATGCGATGTCTAGATTCCGGCTTGGTGAGCCACTAAGGTATACTAACAAAATATTTCGTACACGTGAGCTAACGGCTGAATAAATGTGTTTGCGCTAAAGAGGTTGACTTTATCAACTTCTTCAATTTACCGAGTGCAAACACAACTTGCATAATATCAGAATTTTAAACACTATCAGTCTGGCAAATAACAAAATTTTGTAGGTTGCGGCAGCTTATAGGTAAGTGAGGCCAAGCCTGTGTATGAAAAAAGGATGCTTCGCAATGTCATTTTGTGCTCAACTTGCGAACACTGCAAAGAATACACGAAAACAAAAACATTGGTGAAGTGTTCAGTTGGATACTTTATATCTGTAGAACTAGTTTTCACTAAGCCTGATATATTCAGGACCACTTGAACACACTAAAGTGTGTGGAATCTATTATCATGAAAAGGGTAAAATAGCTTTTTGTGCCATCTTGGCTATAAATATGAAGTGCACTCTCACTGAATTGTGACACTCCTTGACGAAACGTTCTGGCATGGCAAATATATATGGCAAGCTTTTTTATGATCAACTATAGAGAGGGACTGGTTAATTGCTTACCTGGTCATATGAAGATTGGCGACGAAGCTGTAGTGAGATATCTCCATTCCTTTGGCGTGACCAGTTGTACCAGATGAGTAGAAGAGTGCTACTGTGGTTTCTTTTGGGTATTCTACCAGAACTTCACAAAAATCTGGTTCACTTTGTTCCGGAAATTGGCTTACAGAAATGAAGCCATCTGCTTCGCCAGTAACAAAAAGACCCTAGAAAAAAAAACCCGTTGTTAATGCTTCTTGGCTTCTCTGAAAACTCTATCCGAAAATTTGCATATTATGCCTCAATTGTAAGTATTTTAGAAACATCTGCATGTGCATCTTTTCAAAGAATAATAGAAAAGAAGCGCATCATTTTGTGTCCGCCAATAAAAAGTGCAGACACCGGCACCGAAAGCTTTCTGCATTACAAAATATTTTCCACCCGGACCAAGTGAGGATCTCTCTGACCTTCTTTGGCAGAGTTACAACGTCAGCTGATGACGTCACACATTTCGACAATCTGTGACGTATTTGATGACGTAGGTTTTTAAATCACTCGCGTTGACGCTGATTGCCATACTTCTCATTATTTGGACATCTGGTCCATAATACAGCGAGAAATAGAAGAGGAACCGAAGGTGCGATACAAAAAATCAGTGTCGAGACATAAACCTGGCTGGGCGGCCGTTCGACTTAAAGGCGCATGCGCGAGTCACGTTGGTAAGCACGTAGCACAATTACAAAATACATTTTGTTATCTAGAGTTGACTATCAAATCAATTCGTTGCCATAATAATTCACAAAGAACGCTAACCACTGGATTCCACCTCGTTCTTATCATTATAAGCTGAGCATACGCCTGAAGTTACCTCATATGCAATGTTGCTTTTAATGAACTCGTTTTCGGTAAAGGCCTTTTCAACAATCTCTTGTCCTCATTTTTTTTCTGCCTCTAAATTTTGGCAGGCCGTGCTCAATCTGGCCGAGAAACACGTTTTAGTGACCACATCTGTCACTGCCATCACATTTTCACCGGCAGCACAGCCCGCCGGGAGTTCGCAATCGGGATGTTGTTGTTGTTGTTGTTCTCCCATTGTTAGTGGCGCATACCCACTGTGGGGTATTGGCCAAGAATCGAGTGGTTTTAAAATTTACTGTTCAGATTTGGAATGATGGAGGTATAACAGAAATATTACCGATAGCATATGCAAGTGTGGTGCTTAATGTAATGCATACAAATATTTACATAAACAAAATTATTCTTAGAATAGAGCAATAATCTGATTTTATACGTATATAATTATGTGGACATGTTAGGATCATGAAACTTGTTATTAGTCGACCTATTAGTTTCATCAATACAGTCCCGTACGGCCGCGCATACTGTCCCATTAGAGAAACCAGAAATGAAAGCTCCAAAAGACAAAATGACAGGCAGAGATAAGTCCATACCAATACCACGCAAAGGAATTTCTAATAGAGTTTTTTGTAATGTGTTAAACAACCTGCAGGTCAAAAAAATGGTATATTGTTTCCAGTTCATCACAGAATGCGCACAGAGGCGAAGGTGCCTGAGCAGACCTGTGTTTATAGAAATTTAGATTTGGTATCCGGCAACGCAGCCTTGTGATAGCTATTTCTTGTTTTTGAGTGCGGCAAAAGTCTCTTCGCCAGGGATATAATAAATGGCAATATTCTGTAGAGTTTGTTAGTGCTGAACCTTTAAAGACTTGCATAAGCGTAAGTCTGTGGAATCGAGCAGCAGTCACATAAGCGGATGATGGACAGAGCGGTAGAATTGGTTCGCTGATTGACGACTTAGCTAAAGAATTGGCTATTTCATTCAGAAACAAACCTTTATGTCCAGGCACCCAAACTAATCGTACTTTTCTCACATGCGCAGGTATTAGTGCACGGAACGTCCTTGTTACGTGATTATCAGCACCAACAGAAAGTGCTGCACAGAGAGATAGGGAATCTGTTATTATGACAGCTGATGTAATTGCTGTATCCAACTTGTGTAAGGTGAGCACTACTGCCAGAAACTCAGCCACAAAAACGGGTATGAAATCGGGTTGTCGAAGGGAATAAATCCAATTTAAAATCGGGCTGAAAATACCAACCCCTGACTTTTCGTCGTACTGCGATGCGTCTGTAGCAATAATAACGTTCGTTGTAATACAGCGCAGGTGATCTTGTAGTAAACCATCCGAAATATTATGGGGAAGTAATTTGGCATTACTAGGAAAAATGTCGTCGAATTGAATTTCCACAGAGGCTGAATTATCACGACTCGGCATAATGTCGCATATACGTACGTTTGGAGGCTCCAGTGAATTTTGCACAAATATAATTTGTGGCGTGTGAATTCGCGGCCATCTAGCAGCAAAATATTATTCCGTTGTAGAAATAAAGGCTGTTTCTGAATGTCGTATAGGTGATTCATAAATTCTTAGGAATGTCTGAACAGTCAGAAGGCGAATTCTACAAGAAAGCGGAGGGACCCTCGATTTGAGATACAACACATTGTTGGCAACTGTTTTGGGAAGGCCAAGGCAAAAGCGCAAAGTTTCTCTTTCCAGAAGAATTAGAGGCCGCAACTTGTAAGCTGGAACTCCAGAAAAAAGTACACAACCAAATTCCAAAACGGGACGAACATACATGCGATATATCAATAATAATGTGTCTCTTCTCATACCTATGCGGTAGTTGCTTAGCCTGCGTAATATGCCAATGGCCCGCACACCTTTTCCGGCGATATATTCGATATGAGGTCACCAGTTAAGCGATGTGTGCTAAATTACTCCGAGGTATTTAGCAGATTCCACCTGTGGTATATCCTCATGATGGCAAGACAGAGAGATGTTCACAGGGTATTGCAGCGGAAAAACAAGGAGGGCCCATTTACTCGGATTAAGCAAAAAGCTGTTGCCATCGAGCCAGCTCTCCAATATATTAAGGTAAGTCTGCAGCTGTTCATATAAGGTCTGAATGTTATCTGCCATTGCAAAAAAATGCGATATCGTCTGCATAAACATAATTTGTTATATCCTGTTTACGTGGAACGATGCTCATAAGTAAATTAAATAGCACCGGAGAAAGCACCTAGCCTTGCGGTTCTCCCCTCGTTTGGGTATGAGTAGATGATGAAAACCCATCTTTAAAAGAATAAAATTTCCTGTCTGCGAGACAATTGTGAACCCACGCTACTATGTATGATGGAAAATCAAGGTATTCTAATCTATCTATCAAAATACAGTGCTCCACGGTATCATATGCTTTAGCAATGTCTAAGGTAACTAAAGCAGCATATTTTTTATGTAGCCGAGCTAATTGAAGCCTACTTTCTAAGTCAACGTGGGCATCGCCAATTGAACAACCAGCCCTGAACCCAATTTGACAGGAACTTAGAATTGACCTCATGGTAATAAGTTCATTAATTCGTATATTGATGATTCTCTCAACCAATTTCACTAAGTTTGATGTCAGAGCAATCGACCTTACGTTATCCAACGAGTCTGCATCATTTTCATTTTTTAGCAACAATACAATTTTGGCAAGTTTCCATTCTGGAGATATCCATGCGTTCCCTAAAGAATAATTCACCAGTTCTAGCAAAAGATTAGGCGATTCCTGGAGTAAAGATTTCAACATAGAGTTCGTAATCCCATCTGGTCCGGGAGCCGTCCTCGGTAAGCATAATACTGTCTGATTCAATGCAGCTAAAGAAACATCTGGAAATTCATGCAAGTTTACCAGAACGGACTGAATAGCCTAAAAATTAGCAATGAAACGGCGTTCTAAACCTTGCGCCATGTCTTCTAGAGAGGTGTTCATTTCTACCGGCGTCTAGACACATGACTGCAACGTTAAAGGTGCTGGCAGTACTTTTCTTGTCCGAAGATAAGCGAACAAAACACGCTTATTTTTTGATTTAGAAAGATAATCAAAATGTCTACTGTCGTATTCTTCTTTCGCGCGGTTCACTGTAAGCTTAAATATGCCAGCAAGGAATTGATAGTCCTTCCAGTTTGTTGGGCTCTCATTAAGAAGAAGTTTTTTCCAAGCAGCTTTTCGTCTTCAATAATCGCGCGTACACTCATCGTTCTACCGACGAAAGGAGGATCGTTCATTGGATGGAATGGAAAGTTCGGAATTTTTTCTAGATCCCTCCAGCATTGAGCCGATCGTAGATGCAATCTCCTTAGTACTGGCATTTCCAAGCTTGGAAATGGCAGAACGGAGGCAGGCTTGAAATTTGCAATTTTTGATGTATGTGCGTTTTGGCTGATGTAAAGTTGTTGTTGGACAAGTATTGTCAAAAACTACAGGAAGACAGTCACTGTTAGTTGCCGAATCCAGAACAGCCCATGACGAAACCTTGATTGCATTGGAGCAAAACGTTAAATTCAATACTGAGCTAGTTTGACCTCGGACAAATGTTACATGACCTTTATTCAGACAGGAGAGGTTGTGATCAATAGCCCATTCCCACAGTCGCCTACCACAAGAATCTGTCCTTGTACCCTAAGACAAATGATGTGAATTAAAGTCTCCTGTGAGTACAATTTCCTTTCTACATGCTACCAAAACGCTGTCAAGATAACACGTGCTTTGCACACCGGAGGGGAAGTAACAATTTATAATTGAAAAATGGTGGTCTCCGGGGAGACACAAGTCTAATGCTAATAATTCACAATCGAAGTCTAACATTCTGAAAGAAATTTTTTCCCTATGGCATAATTTACTTGATACAAGGATCATTAAACCACCACCACGTGATGGGCGATCTAATCGAAAAGAACGAAAACCTGCAAGATGGAAACTTTTTTCTGGTGTGAGCCAAGTTTCTTGGAGAATTATAATATCAATATTAAAATTATTGCAAAAGTAATGTAAGTCGGTTGAGGCTGAGAATATAGAACGGCCGTTCCAGTGTAGTACCCTCAACTGACCTATGGTGTTGAGAGCACCACAGAGGCGCATGTCGCGCCCTTATTAGCATCTTCACGCGAAATAGCTGATTCATTCCGTTTAGATTTGGACTTGAGATCGGTGAAGATAGGAGATATGGTACGTTTGTTAGTTCGTATAACGAGTTAGTTCCATATCTGTAGCAGTACTTGTGCTCGGCTGAGGCGAATGTTGGCCCAAGTGCACCTGTGTTCCTGACGGCTTAGCCTTGCCTGCAGATGCCGAAAGTTCGTCCAACACTACATTGCGTAGCT